CCGCAGTGCTGTAGCGGTTAGTCGCTCGCCAGCTGATCCGAATGTCGTGGGTTCAAATCCCCGTGATGCCAGGTTTGACTGTGCCTTCCAGGTCGACCCAGCCTTAAATGGGTACCAGGTAGAGTCCTGGGAAGTAAGGGCGACCGGTGTGGTGTTGACCAAGTCGTCCATCTTGGTTTATTAAAATATGAGTCGAGCCTTATATGCCCAAAGCGCCAATGACGTGAAAGGGACCTTTACTAAGAGGGTCACAGAGTGCTTAGAGGGTCACAGAGTGCTCAGAGGGTCACAGAGTGCTCAGAGGGTCACATAGATCTCAGAGGGTCACAGAGTGCTCAGAGGGTCACAGAGTGCTCAGAGGGTCACATAGTGCTCAGAGGGTCACAGAGTGCTCAGAGGGTCACAGAGTGCTTAGAGGGTCACATAGTGCTCAGAGGGTTACAAAGTGCTCAGAGGGTCACAGAGTGCTTAGAGGGTCACAGAGTGCTCAGAGGGTCACAGAGTGCTCAGAGGGTCACATAGATCTCAGAGGGTCACAGAGTGCTCAGAGGGTCACAGAGTGCTCAGAGGGTCACATAGTGCTCAGAGGGTCACAGAGTGCTCAGAGGGTCACAGAGTGCTTAGAGGGTCACATAGTGCTCAGAGGGTTACAAAGTGCTCAGAGGGTCACAGAGTGCTTAGAGGGTCACATAGTGCTCAGAGGGTCACATAGTGCACAGAGGGTCACAGAGTGCTCAGAGGGTCACATAGTGCTCAGAGGGTCACAGAGTGCTCAGAGGGTCACAGAGTGCTTAGAGGGTCACATAGTGCTCAGAGGGTTAAAAAGTGCTCAGAGGGTCACAGAGTGCTTAGAGGGTCACATAGTGCTCAGAGGGTCTCATAGTGCTCAGAGGGTCACATAGTGCACAGAGGGTCACATAGTGCTCAGAGGGTCACATAGTGCACAGAGGGTCACATAGTGCACAGAGGGTCACAGAGTGCTTAGAGGGTCACAGAGTGCTTAGAATGTCACATAGTGCTTAGAGGGTCACATAGTGCTCAGAGGGTCACATAGTGCACAGAGGGTCACAGAGTGCTTAGAGGGTCACAGAGTGCTTAGAGGGTCACATAGTGCTTAGAGGGTCACATAGTGCTCAGAGGGTCACATAGTGCACAGAGGGTCACATAGTGCACAGAGGGTCACATAGTGCTCAGAGGGTCACATAGTGCACAGAGGGTCACATAGTGCACAGAGGGTCACAGAGTTCTTAGAGGGTCACAGAGTGCTTAGAGGGTCACATAGTGCTTAGAGGGTCACATAGTGCTCAGAGGGTCACATAGTGCACAGAGGGTCACAGAGTGCTTAGAGGGTCACAGAGTGCTTAGAGGGTCACATAGTGCTTAGAGGGTCACATAGTGCTCAGAGGGTCACATAGTGCACAGAGGGTCACATAGTGCACAGAGGGTCACATAGTGCACAGAGGGGCACAGAGTGCTTAGAGGGTCACATAGTGCACAGAGGGTCACATAGTGCACAGAGGGTCACATAGTGCTCAGAGGGTCACATAGTGCACAGAGGGGCACATAGTGCTCAGAGGGTCACAGAGTGCTCAGAGGGTCACATAGTGCACAGAGGGTCACATAGTGCACAGAGGGTCACATAGTGCACAGAGGGTCACAGAGTGCTCAGAGGGTCACATAGTGCTCAGAGGGTCACAGAGTGCTCAGAGGGTCACAGAGTGCTTAGAGGGTCACATAGTGCTCAGAGGGTTACAAAGTGCTCAGAGGGTCACAGAGTGTTTAGAGGGTCACATAGTGCTCAGAGGGTCTCATAGTGCTCAGAGGGTCACATAGTGCTCAGAGGGTCACATAGTGCACAGAGGGTCACATAGTGCACAGAGGGTCACAGAGTGCTTAGAGGGTCACAGAGTGCTTAGAGGGTCACATAGTGCTTAGAGGGTCACATAGTGCTCAGAGGGTCACATAGTGCACAGAGGGTCACAGAGTGCTTAGAGGGTCACAGAGTGCTTAGAGGGTCACATAGTGCTTAGAGGGTCACATAGTGCTCAGAGGGTCACATAGTGCACAGAGGGTCATATAGTGCACAGAGGGTCACATAGTGCACAGAGGGGCACAGAGTGCTTAGAGGGTTACATAGTGCACAGAGGGTCACATAGTGCACAGAGGGTCACATAGTGCACAGAGGGGCACATAGTGCTTAGAGGGTCACATGGTGCTCAGAGGGTCACATAGTGCACAGAGGGTCACATAGTGCACAGAGTGTCACATAGTGCACAGAGGGTCACAGAGAAGCTCAGACTTCCTGGGGGGGGGGGGGGGGCTGGGTGGTCTCAAGGCATGGCATCCGCCTAGTGTGCTGGAGGTCCCGGGTTCAAGCCCCGGTGAAGGCTGGAATTTCTAGTAGTTTCCCTTGGTCTCTGGGTAGTAAGATCGGACGCCTGTGTATACTGATGCGCACATAAAAAATAAAAATAAAAATCCGTTGGCAGTTGGAAATCGAAAAGAGTAGCCTAACGGCGCTGCCCGGGCAAAGTTTGGAGTTAAAAACCTACACAAAGTATTTCAGGATCCTCGCCGGTGCTAGAGACCTCGTGAACTGCGCTGAGATTTTTCAGACTCAGGCTTGAGTTAGAAGTAGAACGGAGCACTTATGGGTTACTGCCCTTGTGCCATGATGTTGATCCGTTGTTTAAACCCTAAGCCTGAAACCTTAGACTCCCTCACCTTGACAAGGCTGATACATTTTCGGGTTAGAGCATCGTGATTAACGTTATGAAGCATGAAGTGTGAGTTGAAAACTGACATCATTGCACTTGGGACATTCCTATAAACGCTCCGTCCTTATCTTTAACAGCAGGCGCATAATTCCGATTTCGGTGATAGCATATTATAAAATGTGTAAATTGTGTGACTTTTTTCTTCAAAAATAAAAAAAAAGTATGCTGTCTCTATAAAGAGGGTTGGCTGCAATACATTCATTTTCTGCTTACTATAGGAATATTACTTAGTGACGGTGTGACTCTCGTACCATTGTTTGAAAGCCATGCAAGTGGTCTTTTTTCTAAACCGCCCACCGCGGAAATCAAACCCTAGTAAATATCAAGGATTGCATTGTGCTACGATTTCCCTAAATTTTACATCACATAGCAGCATTTACTATTTACAATTTAAAGTGTATTTGTAAGGTCAAATGTTACAGTCAAGAGGAACGACTTCATTGCACTGGGTTTTATCCTTTGCGGCTCGGCTTCTTTCCATAGAACGGCTAGCCGCCTGCCGAAAGCGTCACATAGAGCACGAACTCCGTAGCTCCAGGAACGATCTCCAAGGATCTACATAAAAATTACACCTGTGAACTGAATGGCGCAACAGTGGAACGAACCCACGACCTTCAGACCGCGGGGCAACCGGCTTGACCACTTCGCATAGCGAATGCCCTTCCTTCATAATTTCGGGGTGCCGAGTTTGATCCTAGAGGGCGGAAAATTTAGCAGCAGACGGCATTGTGTTGGTTTCGACAATGGTTTTGAGAGCCGACCGTTTACTGGCAATGACAAACTATTGAAAGTAGACTTGCCTAGTGAAATCACAAACTGGCACAATATGGCTGAAATTTGTTTGGCTACGTCATGTTAAGGATACGCAACTATAGTCCCTTCCAAAAGGTGTGCCCAATTTTAAAAAACCTCTTACAATAACCGTTGGGCTATCAAAATAATCACCACACATCGCTACATATCGGTACTGATTTATAAACAATCTCCCCGCGTTTATCGGTTATTGTATATTCAATTTTTTATGTAAGTTAAGGTCCCTTTCCCCCACTTTTAGTCGTATTGGGAATATAGGGCTAGACCTATATTTTTATAGACCAATCGGCACTTGGTGGGTGATGTGGTCAGCATCACACCGGCCGCCTTTACTCCCCAGGACTGCACCTGGTACACACTCAAGGCTGGGTCAACATGGAAGTCAAGGTCATTTTTGAAAAAAAAAATGTCCAGCTCTTCTAGGACGCGAACCCACGACCTTCAGATCAGCAGGCCGGCGTCTAGCCACCAACGCCATGGCGACTTTCCCCATTTCTGATGAGTACACAAACTATTTGTCAAACAAAGATCATGGAAATTCGTCCCTTTAAGAAGACCGCCGAACCTTTGCAGTTGTAAGGGTTCTTTCGTAATATCATAGCCCAGATGACGTCACAGGACAGTCCAACATTTTATAGGGTGGTAAGTTGTTTTCCCGGCTTTCTGATACTTTTAACGACCCCAAAACATCTAGAACTGGCCCTAACCCCAACCCACCTACGTCCCACGAGAGAGTGCAGCCTAGGCTCCACGACTGCATGCAGCCCATCTACTACCCCCTAAAATATTAGACTGTCGCGTGACCTGTCGATTTCCCCTGTTTAAGGCAGGATATTGAGAAAGCACTGTTGTAAATTATAAAATCATAAAGATATGGGTAACCTAAGGCCACATGCAAAAATTCGTGTTTATCCGTTTTAGGGGTTTGCGAATTACTTGTTTGAGCGGGAAAGCACGACTTTTGAAAGGCACAATAAATGGTTTAGTTCGACGTTTGTCTCCCCAGACCCCGCCAATATACACATTTGCTCACTTATGATTGGTAGGTCCCGAGCACTGTGACCTTTGGACAAGGTTACGGGGGTATTCCGCAATGCCGTTGATATCGCGTGTTGTATATTTCAGCACGCCAGCGCTTTTAACACTTTAAAAAACATGGAGAAACTGGGTCTAACACAAACCCCCCCCCCTCCTTCCTTAGAGAGTGGTGCAACCTATGTCACAAACATTCTCTTTCTCGGTATGAAAACGTAAATGCAAGACATTGCAGTAACCAAGCAACAGAGCGGGACACACCCGTCACCTTTAGGAAGTTCGACCAGCTCAACAAACTTGTGAATGAAAAGTGACCTACTCTATTTGGGGAAACTAACGTCGAACTAACCCCTTAACTGTAATTAACTATCTCACCTAGGCCCATATAAAACGCATAGAAGACACCCATCAGATTTGAAGTCAGAATGGGCACACTCTCATTGAGGTCCACGTACGAAGGTAAACGCATGTCGAAGGCTTGTAAGGCTGGGTAGTGCAGCACTTGGAACCGGAGAGGGGGAAGATCCGATTTTTCCGTTGTGAGCTTCAGAGCTACAGCAGCCGCTAAATTCCCTCCTGCACTGTCGCCTATTTTGTGGTATAAACAATGATCATAAAACACATTTTGCGCTGTATAAACAATGAACATAACAAATATTATGCGTGGTATTAAGAATGCACAAAACAAATATTTGGCAAAGGTATAAAAAATAAACATAAAAAATATTTCGCTTGGTATAAATAATGAACATAACAAATATTTTGCAGAGCCTATGATTAGAGTATAAGCAAGCATATACATGTGCACAGCTACTTTCTATAAGTTCTCTTTCTCTCCAAAACTCCACCCCCCTCCTCCCACCCTCTTTCCATCCCTCCTACCTCCTTCTTCTCCTTGCAAACACTTATGCTGCTGTCTTATGTCTACACAAAATATGTTGGTGGCTTCCTAATTGTACTGATTTCCACAAGGAAGATTATTATGTCATGATATACCACCAGTCTGGGTTTCAAGAACCCATGAACAAGCATGCAGTAAAATGTGACTAACTATGGTTGGTTTCTTTGAAGTCGGAGTGCCCCGATATGTAAAGCAGATGCACACGTGAAACTTACGTCCTGGAAAAAGACTAATTACAGTCCAGAAGTAGACGAACAACCAGGACCCCTTCTAAGAGTTTACGCATTGTGAACACTAAGAAAAAGAAGAAGACAGTATGAAATGCAGTAGTGTCAGAACATCTTTACTGCCTGTAGCTACCAACTGATGATTGAAGATACGAGGGTCATAAACCTGAGGGTTAGAGACCGCACGGCCAGCGCAGTCGCCACGAACTGTGCAACTTAGAATTTGTGTGTGAGTGTGCCCCGACAGAAATAATTTCCATCTCTTACCGAGGATCCGAGAGTCGCCGTGGCGTAGCAGTTAGGCGCTCGCCTGCGGATCAGAAGATTGTAGGTTCGAATCCTGACAGAACCGGAATTTTTCCAGAAAAAATGACTTTGGCTCCCAGATCGATCCAACCTTGAGTGGGTGCCGGGTACAAGTTCTTGGAAGTAAAGGTGGCCGGCGTGACGTTGACCACATCACCCACCAAATGCCATCTGGTGTATAAAAAATAGGTCTAGCCCTATATGCACAATATGCAGAAGGACGTGGAAAAGGGTCGTTTACTTTACCAATGATCCAACCCAAAGCTCCAGCATGAGAGCCGCTCCTTATATTAAAATAGTAAAGCAAATGTTATGAACTTACCCACCACACCAACTTTGCTGACATCGATGTTATACTCTGAGCCGTGCTTCAAAACAAACCTGGTTACATCAAGGCAGTCCTGGATGGGCGCTGGAAATGGGTGTTCAGGTGCCAGGCGGTAGCTTAGGGGGGAAAAATTATAGGAACAATAAGAGTTTAGAATGGTCAACAAAGTCTTTATTTTTTTTTCTTAAAGTCTTGTGCTGGGAGGGAGTCGCCGAGGCATAGCGGCTAGATGCTCGCCTGCGGATCGGAAGGTCGTGGGTTCCCTCCCTGGCAGAGCCAGACTTTTTTTTTAAAAATGACCTTGGCTCCCAGGTCGACCCAGCTTTGAATGGGTACCAGGAGCAGTCCGTGGAAGTAAAAGCGGCCTGAATGATGCTGACCACATCACTCATCTTGTGCCGTTGGTTTATAAAATATAGGTCTAGTCCTATATGCCTAATGCGCCTGAATGGCGTGGAAAAGGGTCCTTTACTTTACTTTTACTTGTGCTGAGGTTAAACTAGAGAAACTCCACGGCGGTGGAAAGTTGGAAGAGAAAAAGAGGCAGAGGGAAGCCAAGATAGAAGATGCTGGACTGTAAAGGATAATTGAGAGTAGGATCATCTGTGTCAGAATTTTCCGAAGGTACCCGAGACACAAGATTGTGGAGAGACATGACTACCAACGCCACACGGCATACACTAAAAAAAGATGTCTTGTGGGTTCATCTATTATAATAATGAAGACGATTCTTTGGGAGTCGCCGTGGCGTAGCGGCTAGACGCTCGCGAGCGGATCGGAAGGTCGTGGTCGCTCCCTGGCAAAAATGACCTTGACTCCCAGCTTTGAGTGGGTAGAAGGTGCAGTCCCTGGAAGTAAAGGCAACCGGCGTGATGCTGACCATATCACCCATCTTGTGCCGATTTATCTATAAAAATATAGGTCTAGCCATACATGTCCTAAAAGGTGGAAAAGAGACCTTTACTTTACTTTACTTACTTTTACTAGAAGCTCCATTGATAGCGTCGCTCTCAACAAGGTTTGCTAAAAAGATTGTCGATCACTTGCCAGTTGTCACTACACACCACTGGCACAAAAAAGTGTTTTTAACGTGTCTATTTTTATGCTAAAAATATCCTTAGTGTTATATATCCACCAAGGTGACCGTTTGCTTTCTTGTTTTGCCCAGAAACCACACTTTTCATCACTGTTGTTTCCTATATCTCTTTAGTGTATGCCTCATTTGGTATAATAGCGTAACAAGGCATTTTCTCTCTAAGTGGGTTAACCATTTTGTGTGTGTGTAAATATCCAGAAACCATGAGTTTGGCTCGGTATTATGGATATCTCAACCCTTCGGCCTGGATTCCATGATGCTTCTTCTGCCTTTCTATCCCCCAATGGAGCATAGGCCCTCAACGAACTCACGCCAAGTCATTCTATCCTTCGCCATTGCATGGAGCTCTCCCCATGTCCTCCCAATCTTTCTAACCTCATTCTCCAGCTCTCTTCTCCATGTGTTTTTTGGCCTTCCTTTATTTCTATGCCCCTCTGGGTTCCAATGCAAAGACATTCTAGTTATGCTGTTCTCCTGTTTTCTCAGTGTGTGCCCTATCCAACGCCAGCGTCTTTTCCTCACCTCCTGATCCACTGGAGCCTGTTTAGTTCTCTCCCAAAGTTCTACATTAGTTATTCTATCATACCATTTAATTCCCTCTTTTCTGCGCAGGCACCAGTTAATGAATGTCTGTAATTAATTTGTAATTGCCTTAGTTGTTCTCCATGTTTCCGCCCCATACAATAGTACTGATTTGACATTAGAATTAAAAATTTTTAATTTAGTAATTCTATTAATTTCTTTTGACCTTCACAAATTTCCTAGTGCGGATTCCATGATAAATACCGTAAATCAGGGAGAAATGTGGCTTTTCTGAACCTGGACCAGAAAGAGTTCGTCACCCGGTCGCCGCGAAGTCAGGTTTAGCCAACTACGCAACCGAGCCGGGCGGGTAAACCATTTAATTTGCCGTCTTTGTATGTAATTTAGAACTGGTTCTGTACCGACCTTTTATCTTATGATCTCATTCATGATTGTATCTCTTCTGGCAACTCCTACAGCTCTACCCAGACATCTAACTTCCATAAAGTAAGTAAAGGTCCCTTCTCCACGCCTTTAGGGCTATTAGGGATACAGGGCTAGACCTCTATTTGTATAGACCAATCGGCACTACGTTGTTAGTGTGGTCAGCATCACACCGGCCGCCTTTACTTCCCAGGACTGCACCTGGTACGCACTTAAGGCTGGGTCGACCTGGGAGTCCATGTCATTTTTTGAAAAAGAAAAAGAAAAAAGACGTGAACCCACATCTTATCTCCATGTTACTAATTTTCTTTTCTGGTCTGTTGTGAATGACCATGTCTGGCACCCATAGCATAGGTTTGAAATGAATATACCCTGTATTAGATGTTTCTGTGTGCTGAGTGGGATTATCTTAGGCTGTGAGAAAAATTAAGGTGGGGGGGGGGGGGTGGAGCTGTCCCAATAATTTGCTGTTATTATTACTGCAATATTAATAACTGGCTGAATGGTATCTGTAAAAAAAATGCATAAAACGATACTTGGAAATGAAAACGTCAGTTCATGGTTAGGATATTTTGGATTTCGTAGGGGTTGGCGGGAGGGGGGTGGTTGGGGTAAGTCAAGGTGCCTGACCCTCCACCACCCCACCCCCACCCCGATTCTAAAGACTGTCGGCAAGGGGTCAGAATCACAAACAAGGAGACATGAACCAATTTCCTACCAAATGACGTGAACCAAATGAAACTAGTTATTAGTAGAAGACTTGAAAAGGATTTTAGCAGATCTGCGAAGCACTGCGCGTCTTTTTATTATAATTTAGAAGGAAACTATATATTATTCTGTGGCTTAGAGGTTAGTGGATGCATTTCACAATTTCATGATCCTAGAATGCCGGGGTGTTTTCTTTATCGTTTTCTGCGTTCACCTGAAAAGATCAATACATTTTGCCCGTATACAACATAGTCGCGATATATGCGCCTTTCGACTGACACATCCAACCTCTTAATGCATTTGTTGCCTGGGTTAGCGTCCCCGGTACTGGGTGAGATTTCAACGGTCGACGGTTTACCGTTCTAGTAGTTCATCGCTCCCTTCCAATAGTACGAGAGTCACATCATGGAAGAGACTGAGGCCTCACGATGTAATATTCTCCAACACAGTAGTGGATACAACGTCACCAACTTTCATGGTGGAGACTGCACAACATTTGTTTTAGAGGAGAAACTATTATTCTAACTTTTCATTAACTGTCCCAATATGGGGCGCAATTGTTCATTATTTTAAAGCCCCACCCCGGCTGTTGTCTGGCACCCTAATATAACCTAACGGTTAAACGGGGTTTTTGGGACTTTGTGTCACCAGGTGTTTAACGCTCGTTGTGCGGTCTTGATATGGTTGAATTTCATTCAGTTTATCAGTACATGCAGAAGAATTATCAACTGCTTTGGGCTGGTCACCTAACCCGCATGCCAGAATATCGCCCCCCAAAGAGACTACGTTATGGCGAGGCCCAACAAGGAAAGAGGTCACAGGGAGGGCAGGAAAATCGTTTTAAGGGCATTCCTAAAATTGCTCTCAATTCTGTTGGCATCAAGACAGCGACGTGGGAGGCTGCTGCACAAGTCAGTTTTTGGATGGCGTACGTCCCTCAGGTATGGTGCAATTAACTGCCAAGCAGCGGAGGTTGTACAGGTACAGAAACGGAGGCAGACTAGAAAACCGTATTGCTAATCCCAGACTTACTGCGGCTTCCACCTTTGTCCGCACTGCTCAAGAACTCTCCAGGCTGATATTGGACTTATCAGCCACCTTCGTACTCATAATCATTGATCATTATTACTACTTTGGATGAAAGTGTTCTTCATCATTAGTGGTGGACGTACAACACACAGGAAAGGACACAAACTAGTCAACATTTATAGACACACGTAATGAACTACTCGAATTCGTCGGTTGGAATCCGCATTGGACTATTTTAATATACTTTGCACACGCATACCAAGCTAAGGTAAATTAGGTACCCGGTAATGTCCTGGGAGTCAGCGTCTGTAGCTAAGGCGTTGCGAACGCGCTTCGTAATACCGGAAAGGACACAAACTAGTCAACATTTATAGACACACGTAATGAACTACTCGAATTCGTCGGTTGGAATCCGCATTGGACTATTTTAATATACTTTGCACACGCATACCAAGCTAAGGTAAATTAGGTACCCGGTAATGTCCTGGGAGTCAGTGTCTGTAGCTAAGGCGTTGCGAACGCGCTTCGTAATACCGGAAAGGACACAAACTAGTCAACATTTATAGACACACGTAATGAACTACTCGAATTCGTCGGTTGGAATCCGCATTGGACTATTTTAATATACTTTGCACACGCATACCAAGCTAAGGTAAATTAGGTACCCGATAAAGTCATGGGAGTCTCGTGCGTCTGTAGCTAAGGCGTTGCGATCGCGCTTCGTAATACCGGGGTGCGGGGTTCGATTCCTGCTGCGGTCGATGCGTCTTGCGCAGTGGTACGAAGTGCTGATCATTTAGAAGCAAAGGCAAATTACTGAGCGTAAAATGTGCCTAGAAAAACCACAACAGCCAATAAATGTCATGGGAAGGTAAAGGCGTCATGGGAAGTAAAGGCGACCGACATGATGTTGATCCTTTCGCCTTTCGACTGGTCTATATAAAAATATAAGTCTAACCTTATATACCAGGTGCACCATTGGCGGGAACAGGCTACTTTAATGATCTACTTCCCCTTGTGGTTCCCGGGCTCCATTTTAGAAAACAGAACAGACCCACTGCCACCCCAACAAGCATGTCGAATGAGGCTTATAACTAGCAGAGTTCACTTTAAAGCCGTAGAACATCTGCTTCCCAGGCTAGAAGACAGCAGTCTGCTTATAAATAAGCCAGATCCGCAAAACGGATGTGCACAGGAAATTCAAACTCCGGAAAAAGACCAGGAGTGGCCGAACAGCCAGGGCTGTCTGTCACAGTTTACAGCCAGTAAACGCTAAGAAAAAGAAGAAGACTGACGACTTATTGATGACGCAATACTCACCCAACACTGACAACAACAGTTCGTGTCTGGACTGCATACAAGTAAACTGTCTTGTCATAGGTATCTAATTTGGAAGGACAATAGTTAATGATTATAAATACAAGTTAGGTAAAGATCCCTTTTCCCGCCTTTAGGCGCATCAGGTATATGGGAAGAGCGCCCATATTTTTACAGACCATAGGCACTAGGAAGGTAATGTGGTCAGCATTACGCCGACCGTCTTTACTTCCCCAGGACATCCATTCTGGTACCCATTTAAGGCTGGGTGGACCTGCGACGCCTCATACCACGTCAAAAATCCACGCAGACAGCAGTGGGTTTCGATCGCGTTACGTTGGAATTACCAGTTGGACTCGCAACGCCTAAGCCACGGACGCCGCATATATACATATTTTTTGTGTGTTCACAGGCTGTAAATTCCAGAGGAAAGTCCTGGCTGTTCGTCCATTTGAACTTTTGGCTTTTGAACCAGGGCCTGTGTTTTGCGTGTACATCCGTTTTACTGGCTTATTTGTGTGCAATTCTAGTCCCCGCCTCTCGAGTAGATGTACTCTAACTTCGAAGGGAGACGTCGATCCTACCTCTAGGACGACTGTGGCCATTGTTTCGTGGGACATGATGTTGCCTCAATTGTGTGGTGTATTCTTTGTCCCTTCATCTACAAATGTTACCCCCGAAGAACCCCTCACGATCACTCATTAACTCACTCACTCACTCACACTCACTCACTCACACTCACTCACTCACTCACACTCACTCACTCACACTCACTCACTCACTCACTCACTCACTCACTCACTCACTCACTCACTCACTCACTCACTCACTCACTCACTCAGTCAGTCAGTCAGTCAGTCAGTCACTCACTCACTCACTCACTCACTCACTCACTCACTCACTCACTCACTCACTCACTCACTCACTCACTCACTCACTCACTCACTCACTCACTCACGCACGCACGCACGCACGCACGCACGCACGCACGCACGCACGCACGCACGCACGCACTCACTCACTCAATCACTCACTCACTCACTCACTCACTCACTCACTCACTCACTCACGCACGCACGCACGCACGCACTCACTCACTCACTCACTCACTCACTCACTCACTCACTCACTCACTCACTCACTCACTCACTCACTATCTCTCTCTCCCTCTCACACAAATACTCACATACACACGCACACACACATACACGCATGCACGAACATCACACACACACATCCACGCACCCACCCACCTAGCCACACACACATATACACAGTGAGAGAGAGAGAGAGAGACAGACAGACAGACAGACAGACAGACAGACAGACAGACAGACAGACAGACAGACAGACAGACAGACAGACAGACAGACAGACAGACAGACAGACAGACAGACAGACAGACAGACAGACAGACAGACAGACAGACAGACAGACAGACAGACAGACAGACAGACAGACAGACAGACAGACAGACAGACAGACAGACAGACAGACAGACAGACAGACAGAGAAAGATAAGGATGCGTTATGAGGGGGAAAAAACCCAAAGACAGCTATTATAACCTATTGAAACCCTCCCCTACAAGGACACAGTCCTGAAGTCAAGCTCCTCACAAGAAAGAAGCAAACCATTATATTTAGACACAGCAGACTTCACAACCACATGTACAAGGAATTCTCTTTTTCTCCTTCACTTTCACCAGCTGTTAACTTTGGCGGAAAGTTCTGGTTGTTCACCCACTTTTGGACTGCAGTTCTGTTCCAGAACCTGAGTGTTGCGTGTGCATGCGTTTTACAGATCTGACTAATTTGTATGAAGACTGCTGCTTCCTCGCCTCTTAGGCAGATGCACTTCAAAGGAAGCTCCCAATTTAGGTGGGCAATTCGTCTATCCCCCCCCCCCCCCAATAATAGGGCTCTGGAACCCACACGGGGAAAAAGAAATTCAAGATTAGGGACTTGGAACTTTTCCCATAAGGCAAGCACCACAAAATATTGAACATGTGCTACAGACTACAGACATGGGAGCTTTATTAATATCCTACCCAAACAGGGGAAATCCACAGTTCAGGGGACAGTCTAATATTTCAGGGGGTGATAGATAGGTTGCATGCAGTTGTGGGACCTAGGCTGCATGCGGTCGTGGGACCTAGGATGCACTCTCTCGTGCGACATAGGTAGGTTGGGGTTAGGGTCAGTTCTAGAGGTTTTGGGGTCGTTAAAAACAACAGAAACTTGGGAAACCCAGTCTTACCACCCTCTAAAATACTGGACTGTCCTGTGACGTCATCTGGGTTAGGATGTTAATAAAGCACCCAGACATGCTCTCTACATGCAGTAGAAGGATTCCCAGGTTTGGCAGTTTGGCATTCCAATGGAAACCAAGTTTTATGGAACAATAAGAGACATGCGTTACATTCCATCCCTATTCATGATGTGAAACACAAGGCCTCAAGATCCACGTAAGCAATTAGGATTAAAGGACCATTCTTCCATCATTAGGGCACCCAGCATGTGGAGCCAGATCCATATTATAGATCAGAAAGAGCGGCTGGCCTAATGTTTAAGAGCTCTGGGTTATCCGGTGGAGATTCAGGTTCGAATGTGGCAAAGCTTTTGATTTTTGTTTGCCGGGGCAAAAATTAAATCCACACCTTCACAGTCCGTGGCGACAGCACTAGCCTGGTGATCCTAAATCCTTAGGCTCATAGACCCCCCCCCCCCCTTCAACCTCGCCCTCAAAATGTTTTGCCTACACCGAGAAAAGTTGTAAATACAGGCGGAAATCGGCAGTCTTTTGTGTTTGTGGGGGGAAAAAAGGGGAGGGGGCGGAGGTTGGTGGTCACTCGTACGTAAGGGGATCTACAACATATCATTTGCTGTTAATTCCAAATAAATTTCATTTTACCCATTTCAGACTGGGTCGACCTGGGATCATTTATTAAAACAATTCTCCCTGATGCAGATTAAAACAAGCCTTTTCATAAAAATTATTGTTAGCAAAACTTTCAAGAACAAACAACTGTTGTAATATTCCTCGAATTTAGTTTGTTACTCCCCTTTTAATAATGGAAACTTACATCACTTTGACAAGTAACTGCTGCTGCTGCTACTGCTGCTGCTGCTGCTGCTGCTTCTTCTTCTTCTTCTTCTTCTTCTTCTTCTTCTTCTTCTTCTTCTTCTTCTTCTTCTTCTTCTTCTTCTTCTTCTTCTTCTTCTTCTTCCTCCTCCTCCCCCTCTTCTTCTTCTTCTTCTTCTTCTTCTTCTTCTTCTTCTTCTTCTTCTTCTTCTTCTTCTTCTTCTTCTTCTTCTTCTTCTTCTTCTTCTTCTTCTTCTTCTTCTTCTTCTTCTTCTTCTTCTTCTTCTTCTTCTTCTTCTTCTTCTTCTTCTTCTTCTTCTTCTTCTTCTTCTTCTTCTTCTTCTTCTTCTTCTTCTTCTTCTTCTTCTTCTTCTTCTTCTTCTTCTTCTTCTTCTTCTTCTTCTTCTTCTTCTTCTTCTTTTTTTTTCTTCTTTTTCTTCGCCTCCTCCTTCATCTTCTTTTTCGTTCACATTTAAAAGGGCTGTTGGCACGCTGTGTAGTCGTTTACAGCTAGGCTGCAGTATCCGCTTTCGACCAAGCAAATTCAATTTTTATTAAGTAATTAATTTGTTGCCTTTTGCGACATGCTTGTTAAGGGGCAGGAGTTCTGGGTGTTTTTTTTTCAAACACTCTTCAAACTGGGGCCCCGGAACCTGCGTTAAAATAATGTTTCTCACAACAAGAATATTACAACTAGCTGTGTTAATCTTACCTGGAGATCCTAACACCCAGCCACCTCCATGGAAGAAAACAATGGCAGGATGAAGTGTCGACTCGTCCTTTGGCTGGTAGACTATTACAGGTACGCCAGCTATTTCCGCCCTGGTTACCTTTGAATTATCAGTAAGAACATTTTTAGTAGAAATTTGGGAAACAAAAACAGACAGCGGGGAAACACGTTCTTACCACCCTTGAAAATATTGGACTGTGCTGTGACGTCATATGTGGCCAACTACTGGGAAAGAACCGAAGTTTGTAATCCTTGTAGGGCACAGTTAATAGAAAGATGAGACGGATATACAATCAGACCTTAGTAGTGAACTGATGCATGACAAGCTAGATGTTGTAAGGGTCCTTTGGGAGAGAGTGTGAACGCACAGATGGATCATCACAGTCTGAGGCCAATCCTGCTGTCAGGGGTGACCTGGGGATTGGACTCAACATTCAAAGGAAAGGCGAGAGGGATATACAATCAGACTGTTACTCGTGCCATCGAATTGGACCTCTGTCCTTGCTGATGAAGATAGGGGGGGGGGGGGGGGCGCTTATGGGAGTGTCCCAAGTGCTGTAACAACATTCTTTTCACGCCATCGAAGAATTCTTCTGTTGCACTTTATTTAAGTAGCTCCAAAGATTAGCAGGAAGATTACTACTGACCTTCAAAGCTCCATATGCAGCAGACTCTGGGACTGTGGTCTTCGGGGAGTCCCGCAGCAATAGAATGTTGCTCTGTCTGTCTCCATAGCCAAGATATGCCTTCAACCTGGACTAAACAATCAAAGGTAAGACTGTAAGACAAGAGTGAAATGTGTACTGTTTTATTTAAACACGTTTAAAAATGAGAACTGGGGGAGCTAGACCCCGCTTACAGCATAAGACAATCCTGAACAGCACAAAGAAACATTTCATACAAACCCTAAAGAGGGGCTGCGTGGTCTCTAGGGATGGTGTCCATCTCCAGTGCTAGACTTTCTGTGTTCAATCCCCGGTAAGGGCTAAGATTTTTTTTTTCAAGTGGACTTCTAGTAATCCCCCTCCCCCCACCCCGGTCTCTGTGTGGTTAGATCGGACGCCCGTGTGTATTGTTGCGCAGGTGAAAAAAAAAATTAATTAATTGGCAGCTGGAAATCGAACAGACTAGCCTAATATCGCTGCCCGGGCAAAATTTTGATTTAAAAATCTCCCTAAAGTGTTTCAGTATCCTCGCCGGTGCTACAGAGCCTTTGCACTGTGTGAGCTTCTTCGGACCCAGGCTTGAGTTAAAAGATGAACGGATCACTTATGGCAGTTACTAACGGTGTGACAGGATTTTGATCCGTTGTTCAAAACCTCATAAAAATCATATTCATTCCAACTTTTTTGCAACCAGTGCCCGATATGGTCAATCGCAACAAACCAGAAACGAAAAAAGAACCGAAAAAAAAAAAAAGTAGGAACAAACAAATTACCCAACGAACGAACGAACGAACTTATTTTCAAAGCGTCACAAATGGGGCACGCAGGCCTGTCTTACATTCACCCCTTCCAAAAACTCATCTGTCACACATCAGTTGTATTCTATCAATAAAGTATGTTAGATTCCGATAACTATATGCATAGTTTTAATATCCTAGGCACAACAGATATATGGATGCCCACATGTCCACATGCACACACGCCCAGTCACACAGACAGACAGACAGACAGACAGACAGACAGACAGACAGACAGACAGACAGACATCATACATACATACATACATACATACATACATACATACATACATACATACATACATACATACATACATACATACATACATACATACATACATACATACATACATACATACATACATACATACATACATACATACATACATACATACATACATACATACAATCACACGACTTCACCAGCATGATAATAATGATAACGAGGGACAGATTCAGTGCTGAGCACTAAATATGATAATTTAAAAAGACAAAAAAAAAAGGGGCAAAAACACAGACATATGAATGTGGGAATGTGTGTGTATGTGTGTGTATGTGTGTGTGTGTGTGTATGTGTGTGAGTGAAATATAGTTCAATAGACAGATAGATAGATAAATAGAGAGAGAGAGAGAGAGAGCGAGCGAGCGAGAGAGAGACAAAGAGAGAGACAGAGATAGAGAGAGAGAGAGAGAGAGAGAGAGAGAGAGAGAGAGAGAGAGCGACAGAGAAAGAGAGACAGAAAGATAATGAAAGAGATAACTTGATACTTACAAAAGCACGGAAAATCTTGGACACGCCAACTATAAACTGTACTTTGTGTGGCTCACCAATGCCTTCAGGTAAAGGATGATACCCCACAATGGCTAGTCCAACAACAGTGACGCACAGTAGTAGAACAAGTCCTTTCAGAACCATGACTGCCTGCAATAATAATCGAATTTCTGCTAAAAATAATCAGAAGTTAATTAGCTTTCCTTGCTTTTTTTAGAGCTTATTTTGGTTCTTCCATTATAATTCACTCCAAACAAACTGGTAGCTATAAGAATAAGAAGAAACTCCACAGGGGAGCATGTACAGTCTACCAATCATCAGTAGAAGTAATCTCTCGTAGACAAATGCCCAAGAGATCCTTGACATTTTCAGAGAGTGGGCCCACCTGAGTTCATGAGGCTCAGGGTTGGTTCTCCTGCTGCACGTATTACCGGATGTTATTTGGACAGGGACAAGACGAATTGGTGATTTTGCAAAAGGTACTGTAAGATAAATTTAGCTATATTTAAGGCAGCTATATTTCAGCACGATAGCGCGAGGGTTTTGGTTTAGGGTAAGGTTTGGGATTATAAAAACACACACATTATTTAAATAAAACCGAAATAGCTACAAAAGAAAACAACTTGATGTCATATGATGTGTTTGGACTGTTCCGGGAACACCGGCATTTCCTTTATTTGGGGTGAATTAAAATTAAAGTACCCTTATTTTATGCTAATGTAAACAATTTACGTGAAAGAAATAAATGTTTTAGCTTACCTGAGTTGAAAAATCATAGAATAAATGTTTGAGATTTTCTGAGTTAAAATAATAATGACATCAAAACATTACTGTGCCCATGTTTTTGCTTGGCATATTTTGCGATATCGCTCCATGCGCATACTATAGCTTTATGTCAACATATAAAGTAGGAAAATTTAGTTTAGTTCCTTTTTAGAATCGGGATTACAAACAAACCACTAAATCGCACAACTTACAACATAAATAAACAGTCACCAGTTGTTAGACCGAGCGAATCCGTCTGATAATTGTAAACCCCAAACATATGTAAGCCAAAGTTCGAAACAAGACCTTCTAGTTACTTGCACATTAGCCACTGTTATAAATTCATAGTAACGGCTACCAGTTCTAATATTTCAGAAAACCAAAGTGCCCCAAGTAGTGAAACAGGCAGTAGGTAGTCCCGAGAAAATCGACAACACGCATTAAATGCAGAAAGCAACCACGAGGGTATATACTGTGTGAAAGTTTTACCAGTCGCGTTTGAAAAAAGAAAAAACTGTAACTTAACGTATTACAATCCAGGCCAAAGTATCAACTTATAAACTGAAACACGGGCAGTAAATCTGTTTGATTTTAGGGCAAAGGAAAGTGTAACTCTACACAGTGATAACAGCTGCTATCTAGCAAAGAAAATTGGAGTGTGCATTTAGGGAAATGTTAAGTAGGTTCTTGTAGTTATAACAACCTGGTAAAAGTAAAGATAAACATAAGACATAGAGAAGAAGGAGGGGTGGTTAGGGGCAAAAAAAGGGGGGGGGGGAGAAGAAGACAATTGCTCCAGCTTGATCCTTGCCGCAAATATAGATACCACTTCTGTATTATTTTCTGTTCGAGCTTTGGTCCTTATTTATTAAAAAATCTATATAGTATAGTATAGCATAGCATAGTATAGTATAGTATAGTATAGTATAGTATAGTATAGCATAGTATAGTATAGTACAGTACAGTACAGTACAGTACAGTACAGTACAGTACAGTACAGTACAGTACAGTACAGTACAGTACAGTACAGTACAGTGCAGTACAGTACAGTACAGTACAGTACAGTATAGTATAGTATAGTATAGTATAGTATAGTATAGTATAGTATAGTATAGTATAGTATAGTATAGTATAGTATAGTATAGTATAGTATAGTATAGTATAGTATAGTATAGTATAGTATAGTGTTGTATTGTATAGTATAGTATAGTGATTTGACAGTTGTCTCACATAGGTCGCTATGTCTTGTAACAACTTGCGTTATTTCCCAGAGACTGATAGATGTATAATGTAGCGAGTAACAGGAGCACCAAGAAGAGGAGAGGGGAAGTATTTGCTGTTGCTTCGTCTACCTCCGCAACTACTACTACTACTTCTACTACTACTACTACTACTACTACTACTACTACTACTACTACTACTACTACTACTACTATTACAACTACTACTGCAACTACGACTACTACTACTACTACTACTACTATTACTACTACTATTACTACTACTACTACTACTACTACTACTACTACTACTACTACTACTACTACTACTACTACTACTACTACTACTGCGATTCAAGATGGGACAGTATGCATTGGAGCAGGTTAACTGGTTTAAATACCTTAGAATTGTGATAGACCGAAATGGAGGCGTTAAGACAGAGCTAGGTACTTGAAAAGAAGATGCTGGGAGACTTTTCCATGCCATATTCCGAGGATCTCTTAGCAAAAGAGAAATTGGTAAGAGGTTGAAAATGGCTGTTTACCGCTTTACCTTTTTACCAGTACTAACATACGTGTGTGAGTCATGGGCAATGACAACAGCTCACAGATGCCAGCTTCAGACTTCAGAAATGAGATATGTGAGAAAGGTGGTCAAAGTGACAAGAAGGGACAAAGTTCGCAATAAGAAAATACGTAAAGATCTCGAAACCCAGTCCTTACAAACTCAAGTGGATCAGTCACAGTTACAATGCTTTGGACATGTATGCAGAATGGGAGACAACAGGCCACCATGGCAGGCAAGGGAGGGTCAGAGCCAAGGAACATGACCTTCAGGGCGACCCAGGGACCGCTGGGAAGACAACATCCGACAGTCCCTGACTGACGGAGGACTAGAATGAAACAAAGCCAATAAGAAAACTGCTGATAGAGAAGACTGGTAATCTCGCTGGCACACTTCCACACCCCAAGGTAGAAGAGCGACTATGTAAGTGAGTAAAGTAAACGGCAAAGTTACTTTTTGCTCAGTTTGAAAAGAATGGGAAAAGGGGGGGGGGGGGTGGTAACACACCCGAAGTAATTAATAAAGACATACTCAATAAGAAGGAAGCAATAAAAAAGACAATTATGATGTAAGGAAAAAACAGCGAATGCACGAAGAAAGAAAGAAAGAAAGAAAGAAAGAAAGAAAGAAAGAAAGAAAGAAAGAAAGAAAGAAAGAAAGAAAGAAAGAAAGAAAGAAAGAAAGAAAGAAAGAAAGAAAGAAAGAAAGAAAGAAAGAAAGAAAGAAAGAAAGAAAGAAAGAAAGAAAGAAAGAAAGAAAAGGATAAACGGAAAAAAAAACGAGAGAATGACAGAAAGAAATCAGGAAGGAGAAAGAAAGAATGAAATAATGATAGCAGAGGTAATAAAACTTGAATATATGAGAGACACAGAAAGAAAGAAAGAAAGAAAGAAAGAAAGAAAGAAAGAAAGAAAGAAAGAAAGAAAGAAAGAAAGAAAGAAAGAAAGAAAGAAAGAAAGAAAGAAAGAAAGAAAGATGAAAAGAAGGAAGTAAAGCCAAAATGATAGAAAGGAAGTAGAATACTTATCAAGAACACACCTTTACCAAACGCTAACAAATAAATTTGAACATACACATGGAGTATACAGAGTAAGAACTTGTAAAAAAACAACATATTTACAAAAAAGATATCTATTGCCATGAATGCAAAACTGTATACAGTAAACCGACTTACTATTGCTCCAGGTCGCTGTGTGGTATACAGTGGGACAAATGTACGGAACCTGCGCTGTGATTTAAAGCCTGCATGCTAACAGTACATTATGTCGTGATAGCACAGAACCCAGGGATGCCAATGCTGGGTTTTTTCCCCCAAATCTTGGTTTTTTTAGTTGCCGTCTTCGTTTCTTGGTTTTTATTTTGAAAATTATTGAGAATCTTGGGTTTTCAGTCTTGATGATGGAAAAAACTACAATTAATAAATATTCCAACAAGAATAATGTGTGTACACATATCTATAATAGTTTTACCCGCAAATTATATTTTGGAATGTCCTACAAACACTTAAAAAAAACTCAGTGTAATTAATGTAACAGAATACAAAGGCTAACTCTAGGACTATTCAGGAAAATGTAGCAGACCACCAAAGGACCAGATTTACGATCCCCAAGTAGTGTCCCTTAAGTAACAGATACTAGGGGCGGAGAAGCAAAATAGATGAAGCCTGGGACTATTGATCGTAAGCTTTACAGAAGAAAGAAGTGACCTGACATTTAATTATTGAAGAAAGTTTGGGAGGCTTTTCCTCTCTTCTAGGGGTATTGACCTGACATTGTAGCGTCTCATTGGATGAATTGAAAGAAAGCATATTAGCAGAAACCAACAAAGGACTACTAGGGAGTGACCTTTAGTTAAGTTTTCACTAGTTTTTTTTTTGTTTTTTTGCTGTGTTGTGGTTTGTTGAACTGTGCTATCAAAGTTTACTCTGATTATAACCTTGTTGAATTCAAAATGAGTGAACAGATTACACCATCGAAGAAAAGAAAATTGTATGCTCAGTGGTTCAAAGAGGAATGGCAGTATTGGTACCAATTGAGAAGCATAAAAGATGGCCTAAAATGTAAAATATGACATTTTATCCGCTTTTATGACCAATCTCACTATTTTGCCTCACTCGTCAGCAACGGTTGAACGCATATTTTCCCTGATGATCTGTGTCAAAACTAAACAAACTAATTCTCCGAAAGCAGACACTGTAAAAGATCGAATTCTTGCAAAGCAAGCAATCACGACATGGACACCTAATAAAGAATTGCTAAAAGAATTGCAAAGTGGCGCAGTTAGTCAAAGATATTAAAACAGAATAAAAAAAAAAAAATAAAAAAAAACACAAAGAGACGGCGACGATTGAAATTGGTGAAGAAGGAGAGCTGTTAGAGTAACAGTTTAATAAAGGTGGGTATATGTTCAGTTTCATAACTATAAAATACATTTTGCATAGTGCTGGGTTTTTTATTTTATTTTTTGTTCATTTGTTGGGTTTTCGTCAGCCCCATCTGGGTTTTTGACAAAAATCTCATTGGCAGCCCTGACAGAACCGACTGTTGTGCTTGTAGCTTGTAGCGTAGCATACGGTTGGCCGCTTTCACGAGACG